CTACACATCTACTACTGATCACTGCTGGAAATAAGAGAATGAGCCAGACAGGCTCTTCATGTGCTTGAGTGCCCCTGCTCTTCAGTGAGCCAACTGGATTTTAGTGTGTTCAAGACCCATCTATTTTTGCTCTTGGTAAATGAGTTTACTAAGAAGGAGAATTTGAGAAATGAAAATTTTAAAATGCGTAATAGAAATTGTTTCCGGAAAGCAGCTTCTATGTTAACTGGAAAACGCTTGGTTCCAAAGTTGATTCTAAGAATTAAGGCCGTTACGTTTGGAAATGGAAGTGTACTGTGTGATGTTATCATCATAACCACAGCAACACCAAACTTGGTTAGTCACTGAAGGCTTCATGAGAGAGTTTAGAAAAAAAGCAATACCAGTGCCTTGAACCATGGATTCTGAAAAGGAGCTATCATCAGGTACCTGCAGAAGTGGAGGAGAATGTGGAGGTCCTGAGCACTTCTGAACTTTAGGAAGATGCTTTTGCTTTCTGTGCTCAGAGCACAGGGAGGTCTCTGACACACTCCTGATGGAAGGTTTACAGATTCTTCTGTCTCTGTAGTCTGTATCACTGACATAAGCATTAAACAAGAAATCACTGCCGTCTCCATACCAGTCCATGCAATCTTCCTACACAGGCAAGCTGTTAGTCTTTGTGACTTGACTACTCAATTACTTGCAAGAAAAGTTCTTTCTTTACTAAAAGTGAAAATTAATAGAGAGTAGAAACTTGATGATTTAGAAAATTACTAGATTTGGAAGAATAGAATAAAACTTGCATATGCAGTAGACTGTAACAAATTTTGCTGCACTTTAGTGCAAACATCCTTACATTTGCTATTGCTTCATTTAATTTTCATTACTAAACTATCGATAACTAGAATGGCCAATATCTGTTAATATCTCCAAAGGAGAAATGAGTAGATGTATTAAGGTAAGATGTACTGTAAAGAGCAGAGTTTAAAAATATGGTGCATATAATTTACCTTACTGTTATACAAGTTCACTCCTGATGTTCTCTTTACATGAGTTCTGTTTACTTATTTCCTCTTTTTCCATAATTCACAGTGTCTTAGATTAACAACCATGCTGTTTATAATGGTTGTTAATAATTTTCCAATCCTAGTTTGGAAAACTTTTCAATTTTGTTTGCAGTTGCTCATCAATTTCACAATTATAGGTACTTAACAAGGACAGCAGGTACATCTCGTTACCTTTAAATTCTAAAAAGGTATCTAAGTACACTTCATGTAATCTAAGCAGCATGAATGCTATCTTTTTAATTGTCATCAGTGGAACACTAAACACTTTCTGAAAGACTGTGTTATTTTAATGAGCTCTAGAGCAGCCAACAGATATGTGCTGAAAAGAGATACAAGTGATGATCGAAGTATGCTAGCATACTTCTTTTGAAGAAAAGGTTTTATTTCATTACAGCACTAAAATATTGGCCCTTGAATGTGTTAAGGATAGAAGGGAACCACTCATTAGACATTTGATGTATTTAATTTTCTTTCCGAGTGTAAATATGTATGCCTCTAGAATATATCAAAATAAGTAATGTTTGTGGGTTGTGAACAGTAATGAAAGGGAGATTTACAGTGAACTGAGGCAAACATAAGCAATACACTCATGAGGTAAGTGTGAATAGATGTATTGGATAATTAACTACTGCTGATTTTATCTCTGTAAGTTTATCCCCATGATCCTTCTA